TCTGTAAAAGACATGCAGAACAGGACACCTGCCCCTGATGGGGCCTTAGGGACTATGCAGGCTCCTTGGGTCAGTGACACTTACACTAAGACTTAGAAGATGTGTAGGAATGGCCAAGTGAAGCAGGAAGAGGAGGGAAGACAGAAAAAGGGTAGGTGGGTGCGGGGAACCAGGTATTCTAGGAAGAGGAAGGGCTAGAGGGTAGCCTGCTCTGAAGGAGAGAATCAAGGAAGGAAGGTGTGACAGATTCTCTTGTCTGTAAGAGGTTGACATGTCATTTTACATTGGAAGAAACTGACCCTCAGTGATAGGATTGGATCTTGAAGCTTTCATACATAAGATAAGATACAGATAGTTTTAAGGCTCAAATAATTTGGTACCAGAACTTTACATTTAAGAAACATATTGAACCAAAGGAAACAGACTAGAATGAATGACATCATTTTAGGCTGTCCTGGAATTTTGTGCAGCTCTGTGGGAGCATAAGAACCTTCAGGGAGAGAAGAGTCAGCCGTGACAGCAAGTCAAACTGCACCTTCCAGCCTCCTCCCCAGCTTTCACTAGGGACAGAAGCCACAGGAGCTGAGTGGCAGAGCTAACTGACACCTTTCCCTAAGTTGAGGGTTCCCTGGTCCCCTTTGATGTAGTTGATGGGACTTGTCATCAAAGAACTTGGCTGAGGGACCTCCTCCTATATCATGACTGAAGACTGAACATCCTGAGTTGATTGAGAATTTATGGGAAACAGCATGATGTCGTGAGAAGAACCCTGGCTCTTAAGATCCAGGACTTCCCAGCTGTGTGACGAAAGCAAGGTTACCTTGAAGTCTCCTCCATTTCTCACCTGTAAAATGGAGATACTAATGCCTACCTAGCAGGATTTTCATGAAGAAATGACCAATGCAAATCTGTAGACTTGGTGCTAGGCATATGGAGGTACCCAAGAAGTCTTTACAGTTAGCATTTAGTCTTCATTGCTTGCCTACTTTTCCTAACCCTGTTTGCTGTGGCACCAAAGAGGAGTGGATGAGAGATGTGAGTGAACCTAATTGAGTCTAATAGTGGAGAAGTCACACAGAGCATTAGTTCTTCAGAGTCGGAAGTGTTATTTTTATGCAGGATATTACTTTATGACCCTATGCTGTGCCTTTAAACACACACACACAACACACAACCAAAGAAGTCCATGGGTATCTTAGGAACCTGCTGTCACATTCCCAACAAACCTCCAGGATCCCATAACACTGCAATTTCGGTTTATGTAAAGTCAGTGCACACGTGCAACTATTTCTGCCTAAGTCCATTATGTACAAGGATCTTCTGGAAGGGAAGACCACACCTTCCTGGACCTTCGAGGCCCTTCTCTTCTGTGTCATTTTTCATCTATTCCAATTCTATAGCAGTCTGTCTCTGTTCCAACCTTTGAGTGCACTTGGGGGAATGCAGTGGGGTAGATGCTCTGGCAGGACCGCTCCTCGTCTCCCAGCTCTGGCAGGGCTGCCCTGTTCATCCTTCACCCAGCACCAGGGTTGGAAATTCCATGAGTCTTCAGCCTGTTCCTATGATGTAATAACCAGAAATGCCTTCCTTAATTAAAAAAAAAAAGGGGAAGATTTCTGTTATCTTGTGCTAGTCTTTTTAGGTATTAGAGTGATCTGAGGTTATCTCTGGGCATCTTTAAGGAGGCTGAATGAAAACAGAAGGGCAGGAACAATGCAAGGGGTACCATAGTTCCAGACTTGCAATGATTCAGTTTACAATTTTTCAACCTTACATTGGTACAAAAGCAACACACATATAGCTGTTCTCTTTTTTCCCTTTCAGTAGAGTTTTCCATAAATTGCATGAGATATTCAACACTTTATTATACAATTAGCCTTCCCAGGCTTTTTGACACATGGAAGCTTTAAATTTTTAGATAATCAATATTTTCATCTTTTCCTTTGTGACTTTTATCTCACAGAAGTATTTCTTTATTTATTTTTTTTAAGAGAGAGTGAGTGAGGGAGAGAGAGAGAGAGAGAATTTTAATATTTATTTTTTGGTTTTCGGTGGACACAACATCTTCATTTGTATGTGGTGCTGAGGATCGAACCCGGGCCGCACGCATGCCAGGCGAGCGCGCTACCGTTTGAGCCACATCCCCAGCCCCAGAAGTATTTCTTTATTAGCTTAGAAAATCCTTCCCCATCCATTTGTCAGAGAAAATATTAAATGTTTATCTTTTGGGGGTATTTTTTTTTAAGTTTAACTTTTTCATTGATTTTGAATTGATTGTAGCATTTGGTATGAAGTGAAGACTTATTCCCACCCCACCACTACCCCAGTTCAGGCAGTTTCCCCCAAGCCCATGGCAGATGATGGCAGGAAAGGGTTGGCATTGATAGGTTGCTGCAGATGTCCCCTCACCATGCCACAAGGAGTTGTCATCATTCATCCCAACCTGGCTCATGACTCACAAAGCAGACACGACCACCACCCTTTTTTCTCATGGACATTTGGTCATGAAATTGGCAAGCAGCATAAACTCACATGTTCCCTAATATATACTGTCATGCTATTTTGATCCACCGGGAACTTTGTGAAATCATGGTTAAAATTGTGCTTTAAAGAACTGGCTGCTCTATGTGGACATGTGATCATTTCTGTTTTTCTTTTTGGGTGTGGGATACTGGGGCCTCATGCATGCTCAGCCCTCTCCACCAGGCTACACAGCCCCTCTTATTTTGAGATAGAATATTGCCCAGTTGGCCTGAAACTTGTGATCCTTTTGCCTCAGCCTCCTAAGTAGCTTGGATTACAGGTGTGTACCATCACATATGACCATTTATTTTTCTTTTCTTTCTTTGTGTGTGTGTGTGTGTGTGTGTGCTAGGAATTGAACCTAGGGACTCTTTGCCACTGAGCTACATCCCCAGACCCTTTTCATTTTATTTCAAAACAGTCTCATTAAGTTCCCAAGGCTGACCCTGGGAACTATGATCATCCTGCCTCAGCCTTCTAAGTAGCTGGGATTAGGCGTGCACCATGACACTCAGGTACATGTGGCCATTTCTTAAGGCCTGAGGTCCAAGTCTGGGGTGCTCTGCACTTACCACAAGTTAGGGAAGCTATAGGGACTGGGGATAAGAGATTTGAGAAACAGCGCAGGACCCACTCAACTGACAGTTGAGACCGTGGAACAAGTTATTGGAGATGTTATGGCATCTTTGAATGCCATAAGCATTTTGAAGACCTTTTTGAGTCTAACATGTCTGTATCTGTGATGATAATTTATGGAGAATCCAGCATTGAGACAGCAGCTGAAAGGCTTGTTTCCTCAAGAGAGAGTCCTGCAGAAGGATGTGGTCCTCTGCAGAACATGTGGCTTCATGTCAAGCACCAACTCTACTGGGCCCGATGCAGGTCCCAATTAGACTCGCCTTGACACAGTACATTCAGACTTCAAGAAAGGAACTCTTGGCTTTTGTGACACATGGATGAACCTAGGGTATTGTATATTAAACAAAATATACTAGACAGAGAAAGACAAATACGGCATGATCTCACATGATTAATCTAAAAACACTGATCTCACAGAAGTTGATTGTTGAACAGTGGTTACCAGCGGCTGGGGGACAGGCCCAGCATGGAGATGTTGGTAAAGGGTCACAAAATCTCAGGAAGAAGTTTGAGAGATTTATTGTGTAATATAGTGATTACAGTTAATAATATATACATCCCGGAAACCCTGGGCTTCATTGTAGGTTATTTGTGCAGTGCTTGCCTATCCCGGGTTTAATCCCCAGCAATACAAAAAAGTAAAAATAAAAATTGCTAAGAGTAGATTTTTGGTTTTCTTACTGAAAAAAGAAATGTGAGAGAATGGATTTTTAATTGGCTTGATTCATAACATGCTACAATGTATACTTGTGTCAAAATTTATGTTGTGCCGTAAATATATACAATTTTTGTTTGCCAATTGAAAAATAAAGAAAGAAGCCAAGTGCAGTGGTACATGCCTATAATCCCAGCAGCTTGGGAGGCTGAAGCAAGATGAACGCAAGTTCAAAGCCAGCCTCAGCAACTTAGTGAGGCGCTAAGCAACTCAGTGAGACCCTGTCTCTAAATAACATTTTTTAACAGGGTTAGGGATATAGTTCAGTGGTTTAGTACCACTGGGTTCAATTCTCGGTGCATAATAATAATAATAATAATAATAATAATAATCGGGGACCATTGTGGAGAACAGACCACAGGTGAATAAGAGAGAGTTTACTGGAGTCTTTTCTTGGCTGAGGAGACACACCCTGGGAGATTCCCTTATATGATGTCAGACTGGGACCAAAGGACAAACATGCAAAATTATTTCATCATGTTATAAACTGTTTTGTGGAGCATGACAAGTTCCATACTCAAGAAGCACCTCATGGAGTATTTTTATTGAGGAGTATGTCTTGGACAGTTTTATGAAAGAGCCTTAAAAGAGGCTACTGAGGACCGTGGTTAAAATTTCTAATGTGTATGTCATCTGAAATCATGAAGAAAGGATGCCAGTCCTCCAACATACATTCCAGAGATCACAGGACATAAAATGAATTAAGTCAGGGTTTCCGGTCAGTATAATAGTGTGTTGTCTTTATAAATGAGGACTTGAGTTCCTTTAAAATGTGTGAGAGGTGAGTGGCAATGTTGCTTTCTAAGAACACAAGCCATTATATTGTTGATGTGTGCTTTTCAAACAACTCAGTGTAGCTCAGCTATTTAATGTAAAAGTTTCTTAAATGTTTAGATCTGTGGCAGATTTCAAGGGTTTAGGAACTTTTCTGGAACAACTCTCACATGTGACAAATCATGATGTTCCCTACAAAGAAAAGGCTTTTGCATTGGGTTATCAGCCAGGGAAGGAGCCCAGACCAAGGTGATCCAACAGGCCTATGACAATTTAGCTTCCATGGGTGATGTCACAGGATTTTCCAGTTAGAGTCCAGTCAACTAAAATTTGTTCTTCTTCCTTTTAGGAGAAACTCTGTCTACCCCACCACATCCTTGAAGAGAAAGGCCTGGTCAAAGTGGGTGTCACCGTGCAAGCATTACTCGATGTCACCATCACGAAGGCTCTGTTCACATGAGACCAAGTCTTCTCCTCTGGGTCAGCTTGGACTGTTCTCCCATGGGGATCTTGGACTCTGCTCCTGGCACCTCTTCCACCCTCTCCCCCACTCGCCACCTGTCAGTTCCCCAACTCTAGTTGCATTGACAAGGTTTAGTCTCAGGGAGGACTTCCTACCTCTCAGAGCTGACCTCCACCATTAAGACTTGACAGGTGATCATCTGGAAACCAGTGAGGGAGCTGGTGGAGGACTAAGTAGCACATCATTGCCTTTCTCCACCTCCGTCACCTTCCACGCTCACCGACTGCCATTACCAGAACGCCAAGCACAGCTGTTTTGCAGCAAGACACATCTGTTTTATTAAAACCAAACTCGTTATGGATTTAGTGCGGGGCGGGGGGGGGGGGATACAATCAGGTTTTTCACCACCAAATTTTTCAAGAAGTTTCTTGAGACCATTGCCTTTTAAAAACTATTTTCGACATAACAAAATATTTATATAAATATTATTTATTAGTGAGTTGTTATTCATCCTTTGGATGCAAATTGTAAATTAGGAAACTATTTTATTACTGCTTTTTTGTGGTTAAACACTTTATTTTAATATTATAAATATTGAGTTATTTTCTATCCTCTTTGGTGTGCAGTAGATCTAGGTCTCAATCATGTTCTCTGGTGTATATGATTCAGAAAAAAATTATTAAGCAAAAAACAGGTGCTTCTGTAACAAAAAAAAAAAAACTTTCTGGGGAGGCATTAGTTACACTTTGGTTTGTGGAACATTGGTCTTATTTATATTTCTGCATTCCATTCAGTTTCCTACATTCCAGCAACCCTACTGTCCCCCAATATAATGAACTGACTGAAATCAAGAGAGCACCCCAAGGTTGTTTGTAAATAGCTGTGATGGATTTAAAAAAAAAAAGACATATTAAACTTGAAGATAAAATGTGAACAATTATTTTTTTGGATTCATACTTCTTTTGCTATGCACAAAACATTCACATTTTAACACAAAATCGTAAGTGTTAGCATCATGGGTCTTGAAGTATAGTTTTGCACTGTGATTTGTGTAATTAAGGAGAGTCTAGCACCAAAGGTAGATAATGAGGAAATGGTCTAGGAGAGTGGAGGTGATTAAAAAAGATGATTGTCTAACCAAAAAGTTTTAAGGGAAGCTTCAATGGAGTGATCAGAAATTACTTAGGGCACATAGGACCTGGGTCAGGAAATAAGCACTTCTTAAAATTGCTAGTTTTAAAAGAAATGATTCTGAGGTGTAGATGTGCTCAGTTTCTTATAACATAGTTGGTGTTTTTCACAGTAGTCTGGAAAGTTCTGCAAGATTTGTGGTCTCTGGTGCAAAACCTGAGAAGCCACGTGGGTCGTCAGCGAGTCTGTGGGCAGCTGCACCACAAAGACAGGCGAAGAGGTCAAGTAAGTGGAGTGTGTGAGTCTGTGTGGTCAGGGAGGACGCAAGTGTGAACAAAACAGGATGAAAGGAACCACCCAAGGAAAGGGACCATCTGTGTTAGTCTGAGATTCACAGAAGGCTTCACAGGTCACAACCACCTGTCATGCAGTGACACACATGTGCACTCCTGCTGCAGCGACAGTGACCCCAGTCACCAATCTTTCAAAGTTCTGTGAATGCTGACTGCACTTTCAATCTCTGTGGAAAGTCATTGGAAGTTTCTAGAGCAGCAGTAGCCATATTTGTAAACATAAAGGTGAATGCAAAAGAAAAGCCATCAAGAGGACAGTGTGCGTTGAACACACACCAACATCAACCAACACCAGGGCCGCCCTCAGTGGGGGAGGGCGGAGGTTTCTGAACAATGAAATTTAGATTGGCAGCTAGCAATTATTACCTATCAAATGTACTGTGCACTTTAACCTAACTTAAAATATATTTTAATATTTTCCTGTACTGCACAAATACCTGTTTTGTCAAATAGTGTAATGATGTAAAGATGAAAGGTATTTTGAACAAAGAGCGTATACAATTTAAGCAACAAAGGTTGATGATGTAAAAAGGAATTTTGACGGCTGCACCTTCACGGGCATTCAGAATGCAGGGTCCTGAAGTATTTTTGTACGTGTATATATGGCAACGTGAAGCTCTGTGTAATCATTGTTTTCAGAGATTTTTTTTCAAAATTAAAATATTTCTTTGGATATTAATTTTCAGTATTTTTTGAAGTTGGCTGTATAATAAGAATGGCTTCAGTGTTTTGTAAAATGGCTTTTTTTTCTTTTAGATCCAGTTCTTGTATAGCTAAGATGTCTACAAGATCCTTGTATACTGTTTATATGTGCAATAAAATGTGCATGACCAACTCACAGTACTGAAAGTAGACAGTGTATATAGTGCACATTCCCTCCTTTTATTATTTAACAGCCATTAAAACTTTGAATCTGTGTGAACCATTCTTCTGATTGACTTACCTGTCTGGTGCAAAGGTCGGCTGTTGTCACATACAAAAAAAAAAAATCATTGACAAAACAGATTGTAGCAATCATATATATTGTGAATTCGTATGTGTGTGCATATATGTCGACATATTGTATATATGTATATAAGCTCTGGGGAATCAGAAAATAGTTATATCAGTGCATAAAATATATACATAACTATCAGTGTAGTCCCCCAAAATATCAAAAATAAGACTTTGGTAGCTATTTATACATAGTTTATCAGAAAATATATAGTTATGACACATCGGAGTCCTGGATCGTGGCTCCTGAGGCATCTCTAAGCACACCCTGGTTCCTTAGCCTATGTAAAAACCACAGGATCAGGTTCTCCCATTTCCACTGCCTCCTGTGGAATTGGACCCCCAGAGTGAAGTGGCCACTTCTCTGCTAGATCTGGGCTAGTGTTGTTTTCCCTAAATGTCCAGTATAACTTTGGTCAAAGAACAGCTGCTGTGGGAATGTCAAGTGGAAACAGTAGCAGGTGGTTTCCATCTTCTCTTCCCATCCCATATATAACACGCAGGCTCCAGGACCATTAGCCTGAGTGAGGACAACACAGACCAGTGTCAGGGCCTCTTGTTTTAAGATCTGCATCTACTAAATTGAGAAAAATCTATTCCTGGGTCACGATGTTCTGATTTGAGATGCTGCTGCTTTGCCAAGCTCCACCATTTTAGTCATCCGTCTGCGCCTTACAGAAGTCTGGTGCTTCATGGACACACATGCTTCAGTAAACTGGAGAACTGAGAACTCTGTAAAGGCGAAGGGAGGGATGGTAGCAGGGTATGTGCCCTGCAGGGGGCCTGCCCGGGGCAAGTGAGCATCAGGACCAACAGTTGATCTCATTGTATTGGCAACAGCTGGGGAAGGCCCTGGCCAACAGCTGTAACTGGGAGCTGTTCTCGGGCAAGACTGATAGATCTGGCAGTAGTGACTCCTAATCTTCCATCTTCCACAGGAAGTCAGGGAGCAGACATCCATTCCAGGTAAGTCTGGGTCTTGGGGATGATATGAAGGAAAGAAATTAGAAACTGGCTCTTGTGGTGCATGGGGACCACAAGTGAAGCCACTCTAAGCCACTCTGTTCATCCACACACCAGTGTTTAGCAGGAGGTTACTGTGAATCAGGTGTTGCAACTGAACTGTGCCCCAGTAGAGCAAGGTTGCCCATCTGCTTTGTTCTCTGCAGATTCTCCAGTGTCTATAATAGTGCTTGCATAAAGTAGGTACTGAAGAAAAGCCAGTTAGAAGAACTAACAAAACCATATATGTTGGTTCAAAAACTTAACCATAACCAGGTGAGGAAGAGGTTTATAATGGATACCTCATGCCACATGCTTCTATGGTGAGGCTTTTGTGGTCCTTATAGTGATGCTGCAGTGCACCTGGCTATACTTTATTGGTTCAGGAGCAGCCACTTTACAATTTACCAACGAGTCTCTCCACAATGCTGTTGTTTGAATGTTTCCCCAGGGTTCATGTGTTGGAAACTTAACCCCAGTGCAAGAGTGTTGCAAGGTGTGACCTTTAAAATGTGATTATGCTGTTACTGCGGGGGTGTATTCATTACTGTAGGAATGGGTTTCTTAAAAAGGATGAGTTTAGCACCCTCTTTCTCTCTAGCACACTCTCTGGCCTGTACTCCCCCCATGGACGATGCTGCATGAAGGCCCTCACCAGATCCTCTCCCTCCATATGGGGTTTCCAGCTTCTGAAACTTGTGAGCCAAATAAATTTCTGTTCATTATAATTTACCCCATTTCAGGTATTCTGTATGTCAGCATGGAATGAACTAAGACACCCAGGATTTTCTTTCATTTCCTGATAATTGAAGATAGAAGACATAAAGCCTAGAAAAGACCTAGAGGAGAAAACTGATGGGCAAAGAGAAGCAGGGATAAGACACAGCAAAGAATTCCCTGGTGTTTGCACTCCTGGGTCCAATAAGAACAGAGCTCTGTATTTCTGAAGTTCAGGTACTCAAACTTCCTTCCCATGAGGACTTCTAAGGGGCTGTGACTTTTTGCTTAAAATCTATTTCAGTTGGGCCTTATCACTTCCAATGAGGAATGCAAACTAATACAGAGAAGCTGAGTCTCAGAGTGTTCAAGTCCTTCAGGGTCACAGAGCAAGGAGATTTTGTCTCAGCTATGTCAGATGTGTGTTCTCGATAGACAGAGGTCTTCTAGCAGGTCTGGCCTAACTGAAGTCTCCAGTGTTCAAAAAAATCAAAAGCACTGAACAATAAGCTATTTGGAGATACAAAGGAAAGCATATTTTGTGTGATAAAACCAGATATACTGAGCCTATCTGGGCTGGTTAAAATGCTAAGACAGATCAAGACTAGAGCAAAAAATAAGAAAAAAGGAATTTACTGAAGAAGGCTCTAGTTTCCCTGCCATTTTTTTTTCTCTCCCAGTTTAATAAGCTATTTGTGTTGTTATTGTTGTTGTTATTCTTCTTATTTCATTTGGGGATTTTTCTCCCTGTTTATCAAAGTGATACATGTTTATCATGTATAAACTTTGGAAGGTAAAAGTAAATTAGGGAAGATCACCTATAACTTCACCATACAGGGAATGAAAAAGACTATCTAAAAAGCCTGGCATGTGCTTCTTGGAATTTTGGACACGGGGATCTGGCATCTGATACATTCCTGACAAACCCTGAGCTCTTGGGGTGGCGGAGCATAGGGCAGATCCTGACCTAAAAGTGACCTGTTTCCTCCATGGTGAGGCATGGGACATGGTTTCTCCAGGTGGGACTCTGAGGAGAGGCAGCTGTCTGAGGTTGCTTTGAAAGTGCTGGAGATCGTTTCTTGATGGGTGAGTGGACAGGACTGCAGCAGAAAGACTGAGGGAAGGATCACGTTGTGACAAATCCTTAGCCTTGACTTTTTGTGATAAGCAAAGTCAGAACAACTGTGTAAAGCTGGGATCTCAGAAGGATGATTTTGGAATTCATACTTAAAATCAAAGGAGCATTCTAACATTTGGGATGACAGCCTTTCTGTCCTATGTGGTCAGTTATGGGCTGGGTTACACTATTTAAAGCAAGAAGTATTCTATAGTCTGTCAGGCCATATTTGACCATCGATGGTCAATTTATACTGGAGTTAACATCCTGATTAAACCCATCATAAATTATCATCCTGATTAAAACCAGCATAAAGATATTGTAACAGACCTAATCTAGTGACACAGTTTGGATCTGAAGTGGCTCCCAAAGGTCTATTGTAAGCAAGACAGGGACATCTGTATAGCTAAGGGACTGAGCTGTGGCTATTCACTCTGGAAAACTATTTTCAAGAGTTCATGGTCAACTGTGCTTCACCTAGTTGAAACACTGGGTGGCAATGTTTTTACAGAAATGATTTCAGAAGGGACCTAAATGTACATTTTATTCTAATAAGCCTACTCAGCCATCAATGACTAAAACAGCAGTCTGCCTTCAACTCACCACCTGAACAACCTGTGCTCAGTATTACAACTCTCCATGCAGAATTTGAAAACACACACACACACACACACACACACACACACACTTTCTCTCTCTCTCTCTCCAAAACCAGAGTGCCAGAAATGATATATTGGATTAAAAAAATTAAGTCTCTTGCCACACCCAGTTCCCACCTCCATGCCTCATTTTTTGAATTTGTTCTAGTAAACCCAATGAGATTAAAATGTTAATTTAATTGACTGATGATGTATGCCCTTATTATCCACAAAAAGAAGGCTTAGGATTTTATCTTTACATACTGTCATCAGAAAGTAAACTGCTGGTTATCACTAGAGAGAAGGCTGACATCTTCTGAAGTTGGAAATTCAGTGACTTTGGATTGGAGTCCTGGGTGTAGGCCAGATTCAAGAGCATGTGTTCCTTTTACATCTCCAAAGGACATTTTCTGCTGGGGTGGCCGTGGCTACTAAAGGATGAGAAATTTACAAACTGTGTTCAACTGGAGCAAAATATTGTCTTTCTGTCATCAGCACAGTACAGGCAGAGCCCAGCAGATACTCACGTTGGACCTTAGAGGATTTTTCCATTTTGCTCAAATAATTGTAGAAAACAAAAAAATTTGTGGTAGATGAATTTGGGGAGGGGTAGGGTCTCATATTTGACACACATACCCACAATATATGGATTTTTACTTGTAATTGTGTATATTACCATACCGATATGTATATTATAAAGAACATAAATTTTAACAGAAGGGGATAAAATAAAAATTATCACAGAAGCTCTAATACAGAGCTTTCATGGTCTTTTGCACCCCCCAAGAAAGGCACACCTCAGCTGGAGCCCAGTAGCTCAGCTGAAGCCACACAGCTGAAAGTGCTTTGCCATGGGCATCTTGTCTTGCTATGCTTCACAGCTCTGAGTGACATGGTATAGGGGTTCTTATTTACTCCATTTTCAGATAAGGAATCAGCCTTAGAATGATAAAATAGAAAGACCCTTATCAGGTTTTCTTTTGAAAGTCTCACTATGGCAGAGTAAGCTGCAAAAATTCCATCAAAAAATGTGTTATTGGCCAAGCACAGTGGCACATGCCTGTAATCCCAGCAGCTCCGGAGGCTGAGGCAACAGAATTGTGAGTTCAAAGCCAGCAATTTAGTGAGGCCCTAAGCAACTCAATGAGACCCGGTCTCAAAATAAAAAAAATAAAAAAGGCTGAGGATGTGGCTTAGTTGCTAAGTGCCCCTTAGTTCAATCCCTAGTTCAGGAAAAAAAAAAAAAATAAGTCTTTTTGAATCAAAACTTAAACTCTCAGAAGTATAAACAAAGTAAGAATTGTGAAGATGTGTAAGCACTGTTTTTATTTTTTTCTGATTTTCAATATTCACTAAACAATGTTTAAAATTAATATTTTATAACTCAAAATACACATGAATGAATTGTTTATAAAAATGACATCGTTAGAAGTAAAGCCACTTTGGCACTCATCC